GAGCATCATCTTTATGACTTAAAAACATAACCCAGGTAAATCTAGAGAAATCATCCACAATAACAAAAGCAGATTTTCTACCACCTATGCTAGGAGTTCTAGTTAGACCAAATAAATCTATATGCAATAGTTGGAGAGGTTTTGAGGTGGAAACAAAATTCTTATTTTCGAAAGATGAGCGAGTTTGTTTTCCTAGTTGACATGCATCACAAATATGATCCTTTGAAAAATCTAGTTTTTGAAGTCCAATAACGAGATCACGTTTAGAAAGCTTTTGAATAGTATGCATGCTGGCATGACCAAGTTTTCTATGCCAGGCCTAGGGATCATCAATTATGGAAGCAAGACAGATTTGATCCCCAAGATTATCTACGTTGGTAATAGTGTAGACATTTCTATCTCTATTACCTGAAAGAATGACTTTACCTGATTCATCTTCTATAAACCAACCATGTTTCTTAAAACGAACCTCGTAATCATTGTCACATAGTTGACTAATGCTGAAAAGATTGTAGCCGAGTTCACCAACCAGGTAGACTTCATCTACATCACATGTTGAGCTCAGAGGAACTTTACCAACACCATTACATTTCCTTTGGATTTGTCTCCAAAATGTGACTATTCCTCCATCTAGTTTGGTGACGGTCTTGAACAATTGTTTGTCACCAGTCATATGTCTGGAACACGCGATGTCGAGATACCATTTTCCTTTTCGATTCTTCTTGCGGTGTTCCTGCAAAACATAATTACTTGTTTTTAGGTACCCAAGCTTGCTTGAGTCCTGAATGGTTAGAATGCTGAGTGTTAGTTTGATTTGAAGATTTGGGTCGCCAGACCCATCTCCTATCATCCTTGAACCTGCAGTGATTTGAGGTGTGACCCCTTTCACCATAATAAAAACAAGACAAACTATTAGAATCTTCAGAGTCTTTTTCTGCTTTGATTCTGTTCCTGCATTGGTTAGTACTATGGCCATTTTTACCACAAAAGGAACATGCATGAAATTTCTTTTGTTTCTGATGAACAATCTGATTATATTTGACTGAACTGTGACTAATGGAATTTTGCAATCCATTTGGTTGAAGTTGAAGTTCATTGACTTCTTCCTGTAGCATATCACGTTCAATTTCACAAACTTCTAGCTTCTTTCTTTTCTCTTTGAATCTTTCTGAGTTCATTTTGAACTCTTTCAATATCTGCAAGAGCAATATCAACAAATTCTTGAAGTTCATAACAATTAGGGCAATTGGAGGGATGTACCTCACTAGTTCTGAGTCTTCTTCATCATCTGCTCCTCTGTTTCCTGAGAATCCACGTTCTCCTAATTCTTCATTGCTATCATCTACTATGGCCATGAAGCACATATTGGCAATTTCTTCATGATCAGACCCTTCTTCATCACTCCAGGCTCCAAAAGACTTCTACCTTTGAAGGTTCTTGCTCAACTTCTTCTTTAGTTCTGGACATTCAGCTTGAATGTGTCCGTGTTTTCCACATTCGTAGCATCTTCCATCATTTTCATTGTTTATCCTTCCCTTTCTGATGTTTGGTTTACCTCTTCTGCTATTTCTATTATTCTTCATCATGCTGGTTAAAACTTGAGATAGCATGGCTATATTTTCATCATGTTCTCCTCCTTCCTCTTCTTCTTCTTCATCTTCTGGTTCAGCCACAATTGCTTTGAAGGCAACTATTTTTTTCTTTTCATGCTGAATCTGTCTATCCAAGTGAGTTTTCTTAAAAGCTATTAAGTCACCTCTGAGTTCATCATAGGATATTTTGTCAAGATTCTGACATTCGAGAGCGATTACCTTTGGTTGCCAAATCGTAGGTAGACTTCTAAGAATCTTTCTGAATTGTTCTCAGCTTTTTATTGTTCTACCAAAAGATTTGAGATCTCCAAGAATTTTTCTGAACCTGGAGAACATTTTTTCAGCAGATTCTCCGTCCTTCATTTTAAATAGCTCTTACTCACGAACCAAGAGATTTATCCTCGTTTCTTTTACCTTGTTGATCCCTTTATATGTGACTTCCAATTTGTCCCACATTTCCTTAGCAGTTTCACAGCTTGAGATCTTTTCATACTCTTCACCACTGATAGCATTGTACAACAGATTTTTTTTTTTGGCATTCATAGTTATGATAGCAACTTGCTCATCAGTGTATTCATCCAAATCAACTGAATCAATGACCATTCTCATCTTTCTTTGGGGGGAATTGAAAATTTTCCTTTTTTGAATCACCCGCCAGACTTTGATGGCATATGACATGGTGTATGCTTCCATACGCACTTTCTAATGAGAGAAGTGTTGTCCATTTAAGTATGGTGGTCGAACTTGAGAAGTTTCCTCTTGAAATAGTGCACCAACAACTGTGTTTGATCCCGTGATCTTTTCCTCACTAGCAGTTAAGCAAAGTTTTTGAGTCTTGCTCTAATACCGATTGAAAGTACAAGAGGGGGGGAGGGGTGAATTGTGTTCTATTAAAAATTAGTCGACTAACGATGATTTTAGTTGACTAGATTGAGAGCAATATGTAAAATAACAGTAAATGGAAAGAGAATGACACACAACGCTTTTATATTGGTTCGGTACCGGTGTGGTACTTACATCCAGTTTCCCTTGGGTCACAAGGGTTCCCTTTAGATCTTGAAAGTATTACAATACAAATGGTTTTGATTCGTTCACCACCAACGAAGTACAACAACATTGAATTTCGAATAGTGACACAACTCTCTTTTTGTGCTCTAACTCTTCCTATCTTCTGATACATTGGTAAACTAAGGATTATAATGTTTAGGCTAAGAAGTAGAGAGACTTAGAAAACAATGTGTGTAGTTGCAAAAATCTTCCATTTGATCTTAACAAACTTCTTATAAAAGAGGAAAGAGCTAGAGGCACAAGATCTTTAAAAGGATTTTACCCAAAGGGTGCCTCTTCGAATCCTGCTCTTGGGAAGGGCCGGATTCGATCGTGTCTTTCCTTGTCACAACTTTCATTCACGAGACAATCAAGCCTTTGATTGAGCTTAATTAAGGATACTGAATATTTGCTGGCAATAGCTCCTTGATTTGTAATCTGATTACCTTGATTGAGGCCGAATGGATCTGCTGATTTTTGATTCCTTCTTCTTGTCCATTAATTTAGCAATCACATCTTTCGACAGCTTCTCATTGGATTTCTTTCCTTTTGATGATTCCTGCAAAACAGGTAAGTGAACATTGTCATTATTGAAACCTTGGAATTTAACTTAACAACCTCCATGACGACTACTGTAAATTGAACAATATTAATTAATATATTTTTCTTTTTCATTGCTTAAATATATTGCAATACCTTTAATATTAAAATTTATTCGATATTTTTAATATATTGTTAATTATGTTGACAAATATTGGTTCTGGACTCGATTTTTGAGGCCCAGTAGTACCAAGGTATCCGAATTCTTGTGTTCATGATGAGAAAATTTTCCCGATTTATCACTCAACAGGGTTGTTATTTTATAATTTTATATGTAGTTTATTATTGTATATGCTATTTTATTATTTTATATGTTAATTTTATTATTTTATATGTTTGTTTGTTACTCACTTATTTTTTACTATATTAAAATTAAATAATTAATTTTCATAACTATACATGATTTAATTATTAAATATTCATATAACAATACTTAGTTTGACAAATATTGTTGTTTTCTCATGTTATTTTATTACGTTTGGTTACTAGAATTGGAGAGAGTTTGTGTTTGAACTATCAACTTTTTGGATGTATTTTTGGGTTTAAGAGATACTTAAATGATTAATTTCAATAACTACGAGGATACTAAATGACACTACATTTTACTACGCTAAAAGGCACTACATTACAAATACGAGCCATACATTAGGCCACAAGATACCACTATAGGGAACTAAACTAACAATTTATCTATTTTACTAGTCTTTTAACAAATAAATAATCTGAAGCGGATAACAACAACAAATTAATTTAATCAAAAAATCACGAAAATACATATACCACAGTAAAAAGTAACTGATTAATATTTTTTTTAACAACTAATAATAATTTCTCTATTTTACTAATTTTTTTAGCACACTAATACTATAGTCCGGATAAAAAATAACAAATTAGTTAAATCGCAAAACAATCACAAAATAACATAGAGCACATTAAAAACAACTAATATGCACTTTTTATACGAGTTTTAACAAAACTAAGTCGGAATACTTCGATTTATGATTTTTGGAAAGTTGAAGATTTGGTGATTTGGAGACGAAACGAGCAACCCACTACGAGATAACGCCTTAGCTAGGATGTGGGACCGAGAATCTATACTTTTTGTTGGACAGGTGGGCTCCACTCGAGCTTTTTTTTCGTTGTAGGGGGGGGTAGGCGGCTATTTTTTTTTGGTTTTTAAAGTTTGTGNTAGGATGTGGGACCGAGAATCTATACTTTTTGTTGGACAGGTGGGCTCCACTCGAGCTTTTTTTCGTTGAGGGGGGGAGGCGCTATTTTTTTTGTTTTAATTGTGGGGGGGGGGGGGGGGGTGAAAGTTTCTGGTTTGGTGGGGAAGGAAAGGGGACGGATTTTTATGTGGGTATAACGCCTTTTATTAAGACGCATATAGCGTCTTAATAAAAGGCGCTATACCTTTCCGTCTTTTCAAGTTCAACTATAGCGCCTTTTAAAAGGGCATCATACTTAACTAGGCAAACAACCATTAAGGTATAGCGCTCTTTAAAAGGGCTTTATATTTTTTCTACACATTATAATTCTTTGTATTCAAAAAACCACATTTTGGTTCGGAACTCCCTCGGGCCTCTATAGATTCGCCTCTGCTTTTGGTCGTTCTTTCTAGGATTTACTCCTATGTCCCAATAATTTACTACGCGTAACATTCTTTTCTTTTCCTTTTTAATTTGTTTAAAAATGAAAGGCACTTTTATCCATTTCATTAAACCGTTATAAGATACTCCAGGAAAGTAGTTAAGCAAATGATAAGACATACCGTAAACTCCATAGAAACGGACAAGAACTACACCTAACAAATAGCTCAAGTACAAATGTTAAAAACGCCAAACCTAAGATTCCAAAGCTTTGTATATCACGACAAAGCAAGGAAGAATTGCCCTTGGATTAAACACATATAACTCCTCGAGATTCGAGTAAATATCTGAATACCCAACTACAGAATCATAGAAATTTCCAGCAGCCGACAACCCAGAACCACCACTCTCCTCCTCCGTCGCCGCCGCATCCTCCGCCACGCGCTTCACTCTCCCAGCTATCACCCGACACACCAACATCGCCCTTCGTCCATCGCCGCCGCCACCGAGGCAGTCATGGGCCCTACCACTACCGGCCGTTGTGCGGACCCCACAAACCTTATTATTATTTCCTTGGAATCCATGTCGGATGATGGTACAAACTCCGCAGCCAGGTGTACATACCGAGCTGCACAAGTTAGATGTACCCTTGGGGCCGAGTGAGCACGTGAGGGTTGTGCAGTAGAACCTTAAGAGTTCGTTACCGTCGGCAGCGCAACGGGGGTTTTTCTTGCCGTTAACGGTGGCGCGTAGCTTCACGGCGTCCCTATAATCTTCGAATTTGTGGATGGTGCGTTTGGTGTTGTGGACTTTGAGTATACGTTCGATCTTGCATATTGGGTTATCCTTTTTGAGCCAGCTTGATTTGAAGATTATTTCCACTATGTTCCTGCTTGAATCTTCAGGACCCAATTCTGATACTGAAAATGTAACACTTATACCATTTTAATATCTTGATTAGGTAGAATTAGAAGCATGCTAATTAATCATGGTCACTTGATGAAGATGAGAACATTTATATAATTTCTTTGTAAAGAAAACGATAATGGGATAGGCTTAGTTGGTGTTATTATACTTAAGTTAGATATGTTTATTCAGCAATTTTTGGTCTGGTTAAAGACTTGTACATCAATGTAGAAATAAATTTAAAAATATAAAGAACCTCTAATTTTTTTAGAACACATGATTTTTCTTAGAAAAGTAATTTATCAGGTAATTTAAAATAAATAGATACCAATAAAGTGGAATACATTTTGATGACTCATATTGTAGACTCTAATTAGTTTTGAGTATTGAAGATATTTGTTCGATTGATTAGTCAGCTATAAGCTTCTTCAAAGTAGTGCTCTACTAGTTTTGGATGAAAAATTATAGGAACTCAAATACCAAAATAAAAACGAATAACAGAAAAGAAAATAATCAAAAAGGAAAGGAGAAAAAAAGTTTCATTATTGTATAAAGTTGGCTACCAAATGCTGATAATACCAAGACAAGTATCGCAGTTTCAAAAGAATCAATCCTTGTCGTGTGCATTATAATTTTGGCTTAAAGCCTTAAACTAAGGAGAACTATTTGCAAAATATAAACAACATAGTAATAAACTAAGGAGAACTATTTGCAAAATATAAACAACATATTAAGAGACGCTTTCTTGAGCCGAGGGTCTATCTGGATAGAGGTAAGATCTGTGTACACACTATTCTCCCCAAACTTCACTGATTTTACTGGATCGTTATTATTGTTGTAGTAATAATATAGTAGGAGGAGTAACTTCGGATTTCCAGTTGTCGATGGGGCAGACTATAAGTATATAATAGAGATGTATATGCAAGCTAATTAATATTTCTCGATTCACCATTTATTACTGTATAGTTCTTCTCGATTTTATGAAGAGGTAGCTGTAAAATTGTACTGAATGGTCCTTACAAATTGAAGTGGCATAGTACAGTTACTGTACCATAAAGATAGGCAAAGATTAATGGGGAGGGTTTTTTTTTTTTTACGGGGCGGGGGGGGGGGGGGGGTATTTAAAGTGCTACAAAATCCAAATGCTACATTGTATCACAAAATGCCGTTTTGCTTCCCCTAGGCACTGTAATCAAAGCCTTTTGGTTTAACTCTCTAAAAATGTGTGAGGAAGTGGCTGGGAGAAACGATGAATATTGAGTGCCAAAATTAATAATAATATTAGTTGAACAAATAATATAAAGTTAAAAATTAAAAACGATAAACGATTGATTTTAATTTCGTCCTTAAGTAATTCAAGTCATTTTCCCCTTTTTATAAAGTATCTCGATAACAAAATATCAGAAAATAAATTTCTTTTGAAAAATATTTGTCTCAAAAATAATTCCGGTCATACCAAATACAGATAGAAGGAAAAGAAAATTGGCCAATAATACCCCAAGAAAGTTGGCCTGTCTTAATTAAATAGAAAACGAATAGTACTTTTTTCATTTTAATTTATGTGAACATGTTTGATTGGGCACGGAGTTTAAGAAAAAAAATGAAGACTTTTGAAATTTGCGGTCATAAACACGTCAGAAATATTTGTATGGTTTAATCTTTTTGAAACTTGTGTTGACAAACATGTCAGAGTATTTGTGTGGTTATAAAAATTTCTCATTAAGGGTAGAATTGGAAGTATAAACTAAAGAGATCATTATTTTTTAATGGACCAAAAAAGAAATAAGTTCACATAAACGGAACGGAGAGAGTACTAAGTTGATCAATGCTAAATAAATAGAACGAACGTGCATGTATAGGAAGGAAACATAAAAATTAAAACATAAAATAGATCTGAATTTCGGACTATACACAGAGTGAGAAAGTACTTAATTTGTACAGTAAACGAGGAAATAAATAACAGCTTAAAGGAAGAAAAAGAATTACCAGCATGCCTTACTGCTTGATGATGTTCCAAGCTCTCAATTTTTGGAAAAACTTCGCCGCATTCAGGGCAGGCATATATAGTTGACCTTGGGACTGGGTACCTATAGTTGCATTTTAATTTGTTACTCAATATGCAAATGGTAAAAACAGTATTCATATATTTAATACTCATCCCTCTATCCCAATTTCAAGAGTCAAACAATGAAAAAGATAATGACAAAATAAAAACTTAAAGATTCTATATACGTTCTACACTGAGGTCAAACTTAAAAAGTTTAACTCTCGAAATTCGAACTACATCACAGGAGGGAATGTATGCTGACTACCTGCTGGGATCAACTATCATGTGACACTCATAACATCCAGAGAGCTTCCTAAATTGCATGCCTCTAGAAGTAGTAGTACTGCCATTTGATCTAGTAGAGCTACCAAAAGATCTCGAGGATGTTGACCCATAAGAAGTTTTCTTGCTCAGAAGCCGAGTTTCTTGGCCTAAAGTACTGCTGCTTTGATCTTCTAAAGAATTATTTGTATTATCATCAGCTATGTGAACCACTCTTGTGTTGTTGCCATGATGTAGTACAACATCCTTAAAGCTACATATAGAACTACAAGAACCCAACTTTGAATAATAAGCTGCTGCAGTAGGGTTCTTAGATGAGTCATGAACTGTTGAGTTTTCGATCTGCTTGCAACTCAATAAGTTCTTGAATTGATCCCATGAAGATGGTTGCTTTTTTCTCCGTTTCAATGGTTGTTTTTGGATCTCTGACGCTTCTGGTAAGAAAGTGAAGTGTGCCATTAAAAGTAGAGCTAGAAAATGGAAAGAGGTAGAGAGAGGGGCCTTTGAATTACTTTGAGATTTGAGAGGGGCATTGTTTGATTGTTTCTTTCTTTATTAATGGAGAGGGATCCAAGACGGGTAAATAAGGAGGCACATTGGGGTTCTTTACACTTTTATTTCTCTACTTTATGTAATATTCCATTTGCCCCTTAGCATAATAATGATGCATTTGTTTTTTGTCTCCTCTACTCGCGTCGTCCTTGATTAATGGAGTTATAAAATTATTAACTTTGACTTGCCCTTAGTCTCAACCTTGCATTTGATTTGTCTTTTTGGGTAGACAAATCAAGTCATAGATCGATATCAAGTACTAGCAAAGACTACACTATATATGAAAAAATCATCATTAGAAGTAAATTACTATTTTTTTTAAGGAAAAGTTGAAACTTAAATAATAAAGATTCTGCTTTAATTTTCACTTCTAGAGATTCATACGAAGTACCGACCTTTAAGTAACATCTTACAATGTATCACCATTTCACTATGACGAGAATATATTGTAAATTGTACGTAGTATTTTACGAGTTATATTTAAAGGAATTTTAATTTTAAAAAGATGAACACTAGTTAATTTGATTTGGCGTGGAAGTTAGTCAAATTGACTCTCAAAATATATGAGCAAATTGTCAAACAAATTGGAGTACGTTGATATAATGTTAAATTAGGAGCAATGTTTCAGAAGGTAAAATTGCAATCCCTCCTTGACGAGACACTTGCAAAATATGGTGGGTTCTTATATTGCGAGGCTTCCGTCTCCAGCGCCAAACATACATGCATATATTGTCTGTAATCATGTGTCATTAGTTTTGTAGTCCTTCATAATTGACTCTAAATAAGCTACTCCCTTTGTCTCATATTATGCGTCATGTTTTTCTCTTTATACGCCCCTTAAAATATATTAATTACGAAAGGAATTTGACTATTCTACCTTTATTGATATCTTAAGATATAATCTCTCTTTATTGAATATTTATTTTATTTATGTGTTATCTCCATCTTCAAGAACAATTATTACTGGGGGTAAAAAAGAAAAAACAATCAACTTTAATTTGCCTTCAACTTTTAAAATGATAAAGAATTTGAGATAACTATTTTTAGTAACCACGATTGTTAATATGAGGACGGAGGGAGTAATTAAAAGCAAGCAATTTACAATGGGCACAGTATAAATTAGCGCCGACTTTAACACGATTTTTTGTGTAAATTTACCGCTTTAATGTGCTTAAGCTTAAATGACGTAGATGCAAAAGTTAGATACCTGAACCAAAGAGAGATAATTAAGGCATGCAGGCAGTTTTTGGTCTCTATCACTTCTCATTGTAATTGTAATATATATAGCTTATGGTTGGAGAAATAATAGTGAGCATGTGGAATGCTGGGGCGGCTAACTTGGCTTATATTCAGAATAATATACAAAAGTAATATGTCCCAGCAGTGCTGTTCCATATATATTTGGTGCTATGCTCTTGTTCTTTCTCTTTTGTTTGTCATGATCTTAGAAAAATGGGATGCAGAGAACAAGCTCAGATTGATAACTATTTGGCTAAGGTGTACCTTTCTTCATCTCCCTGAATATATTACACCGAACTTCTAGTACATTTTTAGTTACTGCCAGATTGAGGGAGCTCGTTTTGATCGTTTATTTAATAGGCATTAGAACTTGTAAACATGTTTGATCACGCCGCGTGAAAATAGCCATCATACACCGTTGAAAAGTCGTCCGTGCATTACAAAAACCAAATGACATCCGCTTGAAAGCAAAAGTACCATAAGGACAAGTAAAGGTTGTTTTCTCTTGATCTTCTGGAGCAATGAAAATTTTGTTGTAGCCTGAGTACCCATCAAGAAAGTGATAGAAAGTACGGCCGGCCAATCTATCAAGCATTTGATCTAAGAAAGGAAGTGGAAAATGATTCTTCCCTGTGACTTTGTTGAGCTTGCGATCATCCATACACACCCTCCAACTGGTCAACGTTCTTGTAGGAATTAATTCATTTTTGTCATCGGTAGCCACCGTCACGCCCCCCCTTCTTTGGGATACATTGAACTGGAGAAGTCCATGAACTATGGGAGATGGGGTAGACAACCCCGACATCCAACCACTTGACAATCTTCTTGACAACTTCTTGCATAGCTTCATTGAGTCTTCTTTGATGTTCAATAGATGGTTTAGCTCCATCCTCAAACTTGATCTTATGCATGCAAAAGGTAGGGATTTCACCTCCGAATATCCGCAAGGTCCACCCAATAGCCTTCCTCCTCTTTTGTAACATCGCCAATGTGGAATCAACCCGCACGTTAGTCAAACGAGAGGAAAGAATAACTGGTAAAGTAGAACAAGGGCCAAGAAATTCATACCGAAGATGCGGAGGCAATAGCTTCAACTCCAAGGTAGGTGACTCTTCAATAGAAGGCTTTGTAGGAGGAGTCATCCTATTGTCAAGATCCAAGGACAATTTTCGGGGTGCATAGTTGTACGAACCCATTCCTTCCAAAGAGTTCACACATTCCATGAAGCCATCCATCTCGTCATCATTAAAGTTGAGCAAGACAGCCTCCAACATATCACCAACATTGATTGTAGCACTTGTATCATCAACAATGAGATCGGTCACCAAATCCACAAAAGAACACACCTCATTGCTATTTGGTTGCTGCATGGACTTACACACATGGAATACCACTTTTTCATCACCAACCCGAAAAGTGAGTTCTCCGGCGTCAATATCACAAAGAGCCTTACCCATAGCAAGGAAAGGTCTCCCAAGAATAATTAGTACTTCATAATCAATCTCACAATCTAGAATGACAAAGTCCGCCGGAAGAATGAATTTATCAACGCGGACCAAAACATATTCAATCACACCCAACGGCCTTTTCATGGTACGATAGGCCATTTCAAATCTCAAAGAAGTGAGTCTTGGTTTCCCAGTCCTCAAAGTCTTAAAAACTGCATCAAATTTATACTTGCCCCAAGATCACAAGGAGCTTTAGCAAACTCCGCACTTCCAATTGTACAAGGAATTGTGAAAGTACCGGGATCCTCTAACTTAGGAGCCATTGAATGAACAATTGCACTCACTTGATGAGTGACTTTGATACTCTCAAAATTCATTGACCGCGTCACAAGATCTTTCATAAACTTTGCATAAGCGGACATTTGTTCCAAAGCTTCGACCAATGGCACATTGATTGAAAGACTCTTCATCATTTGAATGAACATATTGAATTGATTCTCACCATTCTACTTGGCAAGGAGGGTATTGAGTTGGAGGCTTAGGCAATGGTGCCTTTGCCTTTTGAACTACCAGTTTAAGTATGTCAATGATGTGTTCCCTAGACGGGTTCACCTCCTCTTGAGTCTCTTCGGCACTATCATCAATATCAATCCGAACTTCTTAATTTGGTTGAACAACATTGTTCGGGATCTCTTCTTCTTGAATTACTTGGTCATCATCAACAGTTCGCCATCCACTTGAGGTGGGTGCATTCACGCATGCTCTACTTCTTGTAATAACCGCCATAGCATGCTCCGTATTGTTACCACCCTTTGGGTTTACCACGTGTCACTTGGTAGTGTACCCTTAGGATGAGAATATAGAGCTTGAGAGATTTGCCTCATTTGAACTTCTAGGTTGCAGATTGATGTGTTGTGTGTGGCAGGTTGGGCATCCGAATCGGCAGTTTTTTTCTATTATTTGCTTGAACATATTCTAAATACGACCCATCTTATTGTTTGAAGAACTTGAACCATGGGTTGTATAAGGAGATGGGTTGCTCGGTTGTTGATACATTGGGGGCCTTTGAAAATCCGACCCCCGATTGCCTTGATTGTTACTCCAACCACCTTGATTGTTGCCTCCCCAATTTCCTTGGTTGTTTCCATTCCAATTTCCTTGATTGTTGTTGTTATACCAATTCCCTTGATTGTTTGAATTCCAATTGCCATGATTGTTTTGTGGTCGCCATTGTTGCTGGTTTGGGCCTTGGAAGTTGTTTATTTGTCATTGAAAATTATTCACATATTGCACTTCCTCTTCTTGATCATTATAAGAACCATCTTGCTCAAAACCACCATCATCTTGCACATAATTCTCCACTCGAGTTTGCACTTGTGGACCCTTAGTCCTCCTCTTGTTCACCAAGACATTCACTCCCTCTTTAGCATGAAATTGCTTAGGGGCTTGCACTTGACTTAGTTGGGCCTTTGCTAGTTGAGTCATGGTAATGGTTAATTCGGCAATGCCTTGCCCATGGTCTTGCAATTCTCTTTGAAGGTGGATGATATTCGGATCACCTTGTGGGACATTGGCCCGATATTTCCAAGACGACGATATTTCTGCTATCTCATCAAAGATTTCACATGCCTTCGCGTAAGGCGTAGTCATAAAGTTCTCACCGGTTAGTTGACTCACTACACATTGGTTGGTTGTGTTAATCCCACGATAAAAGGTTTGTTGAATCATGTTTTCTGTCATATCGTTGTTGGGACATTCCTTAACTATTGTTCTGTAGCGCTCCCATATTTCGTGTAGCGGCTCATTCGGCTCTTGCATGAATACCAAAATCTCATCTGGAATTGTAGCCATGTTCCCGAGAGAGAAAAATATAGCAATAAACTTTTCCGCCAACTCATCCAAGTGTGAATTGAATGGTCCGGCAATCGTTTTAACCAATCTAAAGCTTTCCTCCGTAGAGAGAAGGGAAAAAGCCTTAGCCTCAATGCATCCTCGAAAAAATTAGTTTGCTTGCTCCCCAACATATATCCACAAATCCCTTCAAATATTTATAAGCATTTTGAGTTAGATCACCGGTTAAGAAACCCCGTTGCTCAATCAAAGTGAGCATCACATTGGTGATTTAAAGGTTGCCTGCCCTAATACGGGGAGGGAATATTGCACTAGCATAACCTTTGTTGGGCAATATCCGGTGTGAAGCCGCTCATGGTGGAGGTAAGGGTGGAACGAGCATGTTGTCATGAGGTACCTCCTCTACTTGTTCCTCCCCGCCGTCCAATTCTCCCAAAGGCAAATTTTCGGGCTCATTGTTCGCCATGTTTGTACCTACAATTTCTTAAACAAAATAGTAACATGGACGGGAAAG